GTGATAAGTGAAGCAAACTGGTAATACCCCAAAGTTTGAATTATATATGTAATACATTCAGATATCTCATCACACAATACACTCATGTCTCATAGAGTTTACCATTCTTTGTGTCAAAGCGATGTTGAGAGCTGTGGGGTGTTTTGATTATTTCAAAGGCTTGGCTGACACTATGATTTTCCCAGGAGTGCCGAGTCAAGCCCCCTGCAGGGGTGTGAGATGAACAAAATCTCACTACTGACATGCACATAGTCAAGGAGCAAAGATATGAGGAGTTAGTATCTACTCATCACAGACCGTAAACAGGATCAGATGGTATCCAGACAGCTAGCATCCCACCCTCATGTTAGTCATCAGATCATCTTGTTTGATAAATTATGCTTGGAGTAATGCCTGATTCATCTTTTTTCCCCGCTTATTCACTGTACTGTAATGCATATTGATGTCAGCCAGAGCTGGCTTTGAAAACGTATGCCAATTTATGAAATATTAATTTAAGGCTGGCCTAAGAATTTAATTTTTTTTTTCACTGAATGACTTGAATTAAAAGACGATGATGATCTTTCTAGCAGCACAATGCATGTATTTTTTTTTTTATGAGAACAAAGTTTTGCCTTCATGTTTAACCAGTACTTTTAGCTGTTAAATGTTCATATTCTAGTGCTATTTTACTTATAACTGGCGTCTCAGTTTGCAGTCATAGCTCATAGCTTTACAAATGAGTAAATGAAAAGAGTGTATTCAGGCAAATTACAGCAGAGCAGGAGTAGGAATTTATTCTGCTAACAAAAGCTGTGACAGAAAGCCTTTTCAACTGAGTTTCTATTACAGGCTTATTTAGCCACCGCTAGAATTTTAGTTCAGAACTCACTGGCCAGAACTGGCACTCATTTCCCTCACAATACCCCTAATCCACCTGTCTCTCGCTCTGTTCCCAGGCTACAGGCAGAGGAGGAGAGAGGTGCTGGAGGAAGGATCAGGAACAGAAAGCTGTGCCCATCTCCTGGAGTCAATGCCCTGTGAGGATCCAATGTGCTTCGTGTGGCAGGTGCAGTCTGAGGGCGCTTGTGTGCCCACCGAAGGGAACTGTGGAAATGGAACCAGGACTCAAACTGTGGCTTGCATCAACTCACAAGGTATACAATCACAATTCTTGTATTTATTGGAATTGCATTATTTGAAAATGTCTGTATGTGTATGTACACTACCGTTCAAAACAAATATTTAAGTGAATGTGAACACGTTTAGTAAGCAGGCCAAGTTGCACACCATGAGGGTAATACACTGGTTTAAGGGTGTTTAATAAAGCATAAGCAACAGTAATAGTGCTGTTTTAGACAGCACCGCTAATAAATTGTCATATCAGAAGGATTCTAATATCCACCCGTAGCAAAAAGATTGCATTATTTTTTACAGAAGTTAGTAATGTGAAAATGTTTAGCTACTGTCTGTTTATTCCATTAGAACTCTGGATGATTTGTATACCTATAAAGCATTCTATTATTGAGAGTGATCTAATAAAGAAAAGGCTTTTAAGAGCAGCCATACACATTGGTTCATGTCATGTCAGTGTCACACTGTTTCATAAGTGCATTACACTAGCTGATATGTGGTTATAGAGCTGTCTGAACGTGTTTCTCTCAGCAGCATGCTTTGGCGATCAGTTAGTCTGAACCATTTTAACCAAGCTTTGTAATTTATGAGAGATGCCATGAAGATAAGGAATCCAGTAACGTGAACTTGATGAAGCCTTAGCGAGACCCTAATAGCCCATCTTTACAACCTGTGAAACTAATTGCAGCTTTTTTGCGTGTTTTATTATTGTGTCATAATAGATTATGGGTGGATATATGAAGGAGGCTGGGAAGAATCCAGTTAAGTTAACTAATTAATGTTCCTGAGGAGAATTGACACACAGGTCTGAAAGGTGCGGGTGTTTGAAACTGGTGTAATTAGAACCAGATATTTTTATCATAATACTTAAAAACACATCAGATGAGTGATGTTAAGTTAACACCAGTGTCAAATACTCTATTTGATTTTCTCCGCACCTCAGTTGATAAGCTAATTGATGCAATTTGACACAGTCAGGTGTTTTGGGGGATGAGAAAGAGTGTCTTATTATTTTTTCATTTGTGAATTCATTATTTCAGACTCGATGACTATAGAGTGCCTCTGTGTTATTATACAAATTTGGTTTGACCTCATTTTCAGAAGAGCAGCTTTCTCATTTGAATACAATGCTGCTATGCGAAATTTAATTACCCAGTATTTATAGGTAAAACAAATTTGTGTAGCAAAAAGCGAGTAATCATAGCTAATGGCATCTTGATTTTGATAATTATGTTGATGAGAAGTCTGGTTAAATTAAGCGTGAAGTGTCTCCTTCACTCTATTGTTTAACCTTTCAGCCCAAACCTAAGAAAGAGACTGACAGAGTGATAAAGGATTTTTGGGCACGTGTTGTTTTCAGTGTAGCTTTCTTGACTTCCTTTTTCCAGAGTTAATTGGGCTCTGAAGGACTAGGCATTTCTTCTGTTTCTGCTTTATTTCCCAAGAATGAGCATATTGATGCATGGATATCGGGGTCTGTTCCACTCTGACCATGAGAAGGGGGCATTTTTCTCAATGCTGATGTTCAGACAGCTCCAGTTTACTGGCCAGTTAAAGCTCATTGCATAGTGATCTATATCCCTCTCTTCTGTATTCAAGGGCAGGATGGAACTCTTTTTACAGTCTGGCAGCACTCTTAAGAGACACCTGTCATGCAGTGCACAGCCTGATTGAAATTCAGCTACAGCCTTGAATGCCTTAGCACATCTCTAGAGTATGTACACTCCGGACTACTGGACTTTTAGCTATGTGCATAAAGTCTGGTCAACACTGCAGATCATTTTGCCCAAGATCTGCCTGTTACACAGACAGGCACCATCTGATTGACATGTCAAGTTCCCAACATTGGTTTGCTTTATTTATGTGATGTTTAGTGGTGTTTATAGATACTGAGAGCAAAATAGAATATGCAGCTGCTCATGGATATCTTCTTTTTTTATATATATATATTTTGGTTTGTTTGTTTTAGGCATAGGCATAATTTCATAGTTTAGTTACATATATGTAGATCCTTTTGAGGGGGGTAATTAAACCGTTGTAAATCGGTGTTTATTCCTTGTTCTGCTTTAGCTTGTGCAGCTCAAGGAGGTCAATCTGTGATGTTGGAAATCAGTCATATTTTTGATTGGAAATATAGTCATATTATAGTTTTCAAAAAAGCATTTTAATGCATTATTTATATCTTACAATGTTATTTTTTTTACATCATTTTCAATAGGTTTAATTATTGTTATGAAAATGTTTTTGTATTCTTGGTATCACTGACAAAATCAAAAAAGCCTTCACTAAAACTTTTTTGGAAGTAATTTCATTGATTAGATTAACACGGACTTGCTGCAAAGTGTCTTAAACAAAATTACGCAATATTTTTTTATTCAAAGACAGAATTCAAGCTTTTTTTGTGCAGCATGTAGTAGCTTGGAGGATTGTAAACAACTTTGTTTCTAATAGAACAAATAAAAACCTATTCACACTGAATAGTAGTGGACTGCTATATCTGGTATTTTGGCATTTTTTAATTATTAGTAATTTTTTCTGTTTGTATGATAAGTGTCAGAAGCAGGACTTTTAAATCATTGGTTTACTAATATTTGTTTAACAGTTCTGCAGAATAAACTATATATAATAAGTTTTTTTTCCTAAGTATTTCCTTATGTATATACACATATATGTCTACACATATATATATATATATATATATATATATATGTAGACATATATATAGACATATATATATATATATAGACATAGATTTGATATATAGATGTATAGAAATATATCAATTTTGAGCAGTGTATGTGCAAGCCTATACAGAAAATTGTGTTCCCCAACATGGGGTTTTCAATTTGACGAATGAACAGCTTGAATTGTCCAGGATGTCGATCTCTTAGATGCACAGCAGCACGGAATGACTCCAGGGAACAAAATAAAGAAGACAGCACTTTTATAATGGCTACTGCGAAGCTTTCTATCAAAGTCAAAGAATCTCCTGTTCAGTGGAATTAAATAATGTTTCTGATCCTGCTGCTGCAGTAACCTCCCTGTGTGAACTTCTCCATATGTCCAGACCCTTAGCTCTCCAGCGGCTAACCCACGCTGTGGGCAGTCTAATAAGGGCTCTTGTCAGTGAGGATCTCTGAATATCAGCTCCAGGTGTATCTGCTTGCCAGTTTCTTTTAAGTGTTCAACTCCGTCGGGCAAACGAGGAGTGGCAGTTTCCATCTCTGGACTCTGTAGCAATTCCGCATTTCCTTAAAGGAATTCAAATAGACTAGCGTACTCCTCCGAGAAACAGAATTTGTTCATTATTTTCACAGCACTTCAGGTTCAGTGTGCAGCCCCCGTGTTCATTTATTCTGATGACAGAAGTTCTATTACACCAGGATGTGAAGTGGAAAAAGTCATAAATAAAGCAATTCCTCTGGCAGCTGCGAATGTTTTACCGCATCCTATTAGAACTGCTTTTATTTATTTTTCACTTTCCTTAACATTTTCATACCTCGAGCTTCGCAGTGCTGAGAGCACGATGGGGTCTGTGTCACTTAGCGGCAGTGTGGTGTGATGCCACATCTGAAGTTCTGCAGCATTAGAGCTTGTGTGTCAGTCAACGCACTTCAGCCGAGGCCTATCTCTAAAGTGACATATTGAAGAAGTCAGTCTTTTAACTTTGTGCCAGCAGCACGTTACTCAAATTCATTGAATCCTGTAGTCGCGGTTGTAATTTTATGCTGGTTTATGACCTCAGCGTTGTAGTTCTCCAGCACTGCCAGAAATTCACAGACCACATGAGAGTGTCAATATAATGTCAGGACCAAGGTCACCTTCTTTCTATGTTTTCTTAAATTTACAGCAGGCTAAAATCGTTGTGACCTGTAGCTAATCAACAGCAGAATCTCAGTGTAATTATAGCTAACGTCAAACCCGACACAGCTTTAATCGATACATATAGGGCTAGATCACCGACTGGTAGATAGATGTGAGAAAATCAATTACAAAATACATTTGAAATGCACAACAAGTTGCTATTATCTCACGTTTTTGTATTTATGTTGCTTTCTAGCCGAGGTCTTAGTATTAATGAAATCTTTCAACCCATCCAAGGTTACTTGTGCTGTCAAAGTTCATATATTAATGCATGCAGCTTATCAAATGTTTAATTTCTTTTTATATATATTTTACATTGTATAATGTTTACACTATAACTGAATGGTGAGTTTAATTTATAAATGGTTAGCTAAATTATTAGTTAATTTTTAAATCAAATAAAGACGTGCCGTTTAACAAAATTTGCATGCTTTGTATGGTGAAAAAAAAGTCAAAAAGTGAAATATCACCTATAAAGTGTGAGGAAAGGAAAGTTATTTTATTATTGAATTATTATAGATTTGCATTTCTGTATTGGGTTGTAATGCTGTATGAGAAATGTAATTTGTTTGTTGTGCAAATTAGACAAGGAAACAGGTTTTCCTTGTCAGGTTTTATCCAGTGTCATCGTTATACCCTACTGTTCAGAAAATTGGGATTGGTACGACTTTTGAAAAGCCCCTTATGCTCGCCAGGGCTGGCTTTATTTGATCAAAAATGCTGTTAACAGTAATGTTGTAAAATGTTACTACGATTTTAAAAAAGTGCTTTCTATTTAAATATAATATGTCATTTATTCCTGTGATGGCAAAGCTGAATTTTCAGCAGTCATTACTCCAGTCTTTAGTTTCACATGATTCCTCCATGCTGATCTTCTGCAAAACAAAAAAAAAAACATTTCTTATTATCAATGTTGAAAACAGTTGTGCTGCTTAATGAAGTGTGGAAATCATGATACATATTTCCAGGATTCTTTAAAAAAAACACAATTTATTTGAAATTGAAATCTTGTTTTAACACTATAAATGCCTTAACTGTCTCTTTTGATTAATTGAATGCATCCTTGCTATAAAAATAATGTTACTGACCCCAAATCTAATATTTAAATTGTAATTTAAATATTGATATATAAGAATTACATATTTCAATTGACAACACACATACTACAGCACAAATGCATCATAATACTGTGGTGTTTTATAGTACTTGGAGCCCCTGGGATTAGATTTTATTCTCTATCTGGCCCATCACACATGCTTCAGTCCAGGGGTCGGGAACCTATGGCTCTGATCTATTACAAAAATTAGACATCGCTAGAGATCAGCAATTCCATTGTTGTAGAGCCTACATAAGCTGATAAAAGGTTTAAAATAATACTCTTTTTTTTTTAACCGGCCAAAGTGCGCATTCAGTTCTATTCGCGAGAGTCACAAGTCAAACCAGTGACGTGTCTATGGTAATGTAGAGCTAATAAACTCAGATTCAAGCAGCTACGTAGCTTGTTTGTGGTAATAGCGAAAAGAAAGATTTTTTGAACAGCAGAAAAAGTGTAAAAGTAGGCTATGTGAAAAAGTGTAAAAGTAGGCTATGTAAAAAAGTGGACTGAAGCAGGACTGAAACATATTTGTTTTATATAAGATGGTGTTTTCCTGTGCCAAGAGCCAGTATGAAACATTTCGCTGGTTACTTTCGCTTTTTCCGCACAGATTTCAGCGCGTGGGACTGTTAGCGTTATTAATAAAGGAACGTGAATGAATGAGACAGTAAAGAGCGGGACATGCTTGATATTAAAAACAGACAGCATTAAAAACTCAAAACCGCGAAACAGAACTCAATCCGCTTCTGACTAGATGTTTTCTGCGCACGAGGCCCGAGTGGAAGATGGACAAGCAGTAGACTTGGTCTTCGGTGCCGTGCCTGAAACGGTCAAAACACGGAGCGTCAAAATGCCTGCACTGGTGGGTATTCACATAAATACGGTCGACATAAGCACCGTGCATTATTCTTCACTCACTCAGTCTCTCTCTCTCTCACACACACACACACACACACACACACACACACAGAGAGAGAGAACACTGAAGAGAATTCATCCCCCTGTAAATCAACCTCACAGTAAAAGCCCTGCACAATTTTTGACGGTTAGTTGCATATTTGTGTATTTTAGTTTCCATGGTCCTAATAAAGTTACTATTATTAAAACGTTATTGAAAAAAAAACATGCATTTTATATCATTTTAGACTATATATATATATATATATATATATAGGCTCTTTTGGAAAAATGCATTAACCAAAAATAAAAAAATTGGCTCTTTGGTCAAAAACGGTTCCCGACCCCTGCTTTAGTCATTTCTGCCGTTCAAATGCTAATAACATTTGCCAGGTAGCCACGTGGGGTGACAGGATGATGTGCTGATCAATGAGAACTGTAATCTATGCAGCAGATTAGAGGTTTGCCGCTGTGTGGTCTGTCCCAATACGGCCATTTATCTCCTCTGAGCGTGGTGTAATCGGGTGTGTTTGATGGATCTCACAACATCTTGCCCTTCTCTACTCAGAGCCGGAGAAAAACATGTGGCACTTCATGGATGAGCACTGAACTTTGTGCTTCTTTCAGAGAAGACCAGTTTAGACATATGCTAGTTTTGTGCTGGTCTCAAACTGCTGAAGCTGTTTGTCATACATGGCCTTTCTGGTAAAACTGGTTAACTAAGGCCCCATTTGGACAGAATTAGTTTTACATGGGGAAAGTGGTGTACTATTTATTAGAGATTTTCTCTGATTTTAATCTTTGTCTGTAATATTTCAGGACTTTTTACAGATTGCACTTTTCTGTGTTGGTAAAGATTATAGCTTCTTATACCTTCTGTAAAACAATTTAAAAAAGTAACCAAAAATAATAGCAGTTGTAATGACATGCTAATAAAAGCCTTTAAATCTGCTCTCAGCAGTCCATGTCCAGCATTTGTATTAAAGTGTATTAAGTAGACAATTGTCAGTGAAAAGACACGTTCATGACTTTTTCTGAGCGATAACACTTGCTGTTCCGAATGGACTTAAGAATGCAAAGCATACAGGGTTTTTTGTCCTGAGTTTTTATTGAAAAGATGGTAGACAGTACAACCTTGACACTTGCAAGAGGGAAAAAAAGTGAAATTAATTTCATATTGTTCTTTAATGCACAGGACATTTGTTACCCATGTAGAGAAAGAAGAAAGGATTCTGATTTCTTTTGGTTTGAAAAATGAGAAAGTAGCCTACATAAGTATTGTAATTTAGTGATTACATGATCTGCGAGCAGAATGATGGTGAAAGTTCAAGTGTTAAAGGGGTCATATGATGCGATTTAAATTTTTCCTTTCTCTTTGGAGTGTTACAAGCTCTTGGTGCATAAAGAAGATCTGTAAAGTTGCAAAGACTAAAGTCTCAAATCAAAAGAGATATTCTTTATAAAAGTTAAGAGTCAGAGAGTTACATTCCCGGATGTGAAGACCCCCCTCTCCCCCCTCTAGTTACGCAGAGGTGTCAAATTTCACGGCTCTGAAATGGCCGCCAAGTTGACAGACTGTAATCTGACCAATTGCAGTTCACAAGCGACCACAGATCTCTATAACATCAGACGCGCTGGCTGTGAGCACTTTTGATATGGAGAGCGCGTCTCTGGAAGAAGCGCGTCTAAAATAATGTTCTTTTTAGCAACATCATATGACCCCTTTAAGGTTTATGTGTGTGTGCGTGTTTGTTCAGACTGTGCTACATGCCTCGGTTTTTAGAACACATTTTCCAGAACAGTAAAAGCAACAAAGACTAAAGACATACATTGTTGTTTTTTGCTTGAAATTCAAGACTAATCATAGACGCTTTTTTTTTTTTTAAAGGAAATTAATACTAAATTCTATTAAGCAATTATGCATTAAAAATATAAAAAATGACAGTTGAGACATTTATAATGTTTAGAATGTCTTTTGTTTCAAATAAATGCAGAAAAAATGATATAAACTCGCAATCGTGAGTTAAAAAGTCAGAATTGCAAGATATAAACTGGAAATTCTGACTTTTTTCTCAGAAATTTCTGATATAAATTCGCAATTGTGAATTATAAAGTCAGAATTGCGAGAGATAAACTCAGAAGTGCGAGATATAAACTTGCAATTCTGACTTTTTTTCTTAGAATTGCATGTTTGTATCTTGCAATTCTGACTTTTTTCTCAGAATTGTGAAATATAAACTCGCAATTGCGAGTTACAAAGTCCAGTTCTGAGAGAAAAAAGGACTGATATTTTCTCAGATAACTGACTTTTCTGATGCATTTCTGACTTTTTTCTCAGAATCGCGAGTTTATATCTTACAATTCTGTTTAAAAAAAAGTAAGAATTGTGAGATAAAAAGTTTTTACCAAATACCTTGGTAAAAGCAATTACCTTTTTTGTTTCTTTTTTATTCAGTGGCGGAAATGGGCTTCCATAGAAAAAGAATCAAAGAAAAAAAATGCATGATGTTTTCCACAGATATATTAAGCAGCACAAATGTTTTTGATAAGAAATTGATGAAACATTGATGATAAGAAATGTTTCTTGAGCAGCAAATCAGCATATTAGAATGATTTCTGAAGGATTATGTGACACTGAAGACTGATGTAATGATGCTGTACCAAAAAAGTACACCTTTTCAAAAGGTACACATTGGTACCTTATTTACCCCAAAAGGGTGCATATAAGTAACTTAAAGATTAAAATTAGCACCTAAAGTTAGTACCTTAATGTAGCATTAATAACTTAACGGTACATATCTGTACCTTTCAAAAAGGTGCCGCCCTAGTGACAGTGCTGTTAAATGCATTTCCCCTTAATTACATGTGTGGCTGCAATATACAAATGCTCCTGGGTGCCATCCTGGGCGATTTTTAAAGGCATGGCTTAGCTGTGTGAAAACATTACAAACATCCAGAGTAAATTGCTTTACAGACATTTCCTAAAACAAATCCCATTCAAATAGGGTTTAAGAAAGTCTTGCAAGTTAAAACACTTGATTGGGGACACCGTCATCCAAACCACAACACATTTCAGCGACCAGCTACAGTACGCTTTTCCTTTCAGCAGGAAACACATTAGTTAAAATAACTAGTTCTTTTTGACCCTTGCAGCATCAGTAAGAGTCATCTGCATCACAGATGTCAACATGTGCCCATGGGCAAGCCACCACTGATGGCTCTTTTAGTGGAGAAGACGGTGCACACAGTTTTACTTTGTATAGCTTCTTGGCTGTCACTTAGTAAATGATGTGTCAGGCCAGTGTTGCGCGGCTCTAAATTATGAGTGTTGCGAGTTAGCTGACATGATTGAGTGCATCGATGCAATTTCACCACGGGTGACCAAAAAACACTGTATCACACTGATGGTTTCTGTGCTCTGACCTTAATTCCATCTCAAAATGGAACGTTCAAGCTTTCAAATAAAAGTTCAACTTAAAATTTCAACTCTGAAAGGGCAATCCACAGCGTATGATAACGCTGGGCAGTCTAGAGGAGCAAGTCAGAAGGGAAACACAATGGCACTTGGACTCGCATGCCATTGTGATGTTATTATATTTTTGAGAGCAAGTTTCCAGCGATAAACACCCATATATTAATAATTCAGGAAGGACCTGGAGCTGAGATCCATTTACAGTTTCCCCACACATGGCAGGTGCTTTCTGCTTTTCAGGCATTCCTTACTCAGCCTGGTCTAATGCAGGGTAGATGCACACCCCACATTTTTCCACGTAACTTTTTATGATACGAGTATGACTGGCAGCTGTGTTTGGGTGGTTGAGCAGAGAAAATTACGGCTGCTCTCTGCTAAATCCGTCTGTACAGAAGAGTGCCTGTTTTATGACTAGTTATTCAGTTTCCTTCATTGTTATGTTAGATGATAATGAGGTTTAGAGCTTCAACTCTATAGTTAATGGCCACCACTTATAGTTTAGTGCATTTGTATGAAGAATGTATGCAGCAAATCAACAAAAGCTTGCAAGAGATTGCAACATTTCATTGAACCATTGTGTTTTTCAGTACAAATATCTAAATATCCATTAATAAGTTTACAGAGAAGCAACATTTTAAATCATAAGTGAATAAACATAAATATATTTATGGTAACACTTTAGTTTAGGGACCAGTTCTCACTTTTAACTAGTTGCTTCTTAGCATGAATATGACTAGCATATTGGCTGTTTATTAGTACTTATAAAACATATAAGTGACCTGCATGAATATGCATATTTCTAATATAAAACATGAAAACATGAAGAAAATTACGAAATCGTGAAGTGATTGTTTAACAGACGGCTTTTTTACATGCTTAGAGCCGTTGCTTATCATTATATTTCCTAATTTGGTTTGGTTTTTTAATTCGGTTTGATCAAGAAGCGGTTTTGGCAGTTTTATGGTATGGCATGAGCCCCCAGTGAAGCATGTGTGGGACACAGATGGGTTTTCATCAGTGTCTTTATTATGTTAGAACGAGGCCGACAGCCGCCCAACTGTTCCAGTGTTGTTTCACGTCGTGGACCTCAGACAGTCTTTAGGCAGTACAAGAGCTGCTCCCGCACTAATATAGAGTTTTGTCAAGTCTTACATTTCTTTCAGGAAATTCATGTTGCTGTCTCCAAGCGTTTGAAGAAGCCTTTAAGAAATGAACCTTCACCACGGAGCTTTGTACTTAAAATAGTTGAACGACTTAACCTTACCTTAAAGGAGTCTTAAGGCAGAATTATGATTGGAAAGATTATAAGTGTCTTTAAATCCATATGAGGCGACAAGCCTGGATAACTCCAGATGGAGTTTGTGCTGCAATTTGAAATGGATCAGAGGAGAGGGTTGGAACTCGTGTGCTATCGGTTTTCTCTCTGACTGTGTGATCAGTCAAAGTGCCAGTTATCAGTGTGTCTGATCAATGCAGGTGACACTAATCTGGTAAATGACCTTCTGCCTGCATGTCAGGGTTGTCAATATCTGGACTGAGGTGAACTAATTCTGATCAATTCTCAAAATCATCTCTTACTGACAGGTGGAGTCTTAGTTCTGGCTTTAAACCCTAAAGCTCTTAATAGTTAAAGAAATGACAGATAGAGAAGATTTCGCTTTTTCCGTATATAAAGTGCATTTACTACTTCTATCATTATTAGAAATCAAATATAGATGTTTTGAGAAGATAGACTTAAGAGTTTATTGTACCACCAATTTAACATACTGTTTCTGTCAGAATTTGTTTCTTTTAAAGCAGTTAAAAACAAACTGTTGCTCATTTAATCTTAATAGGAGTTTTAAAAGCAGTAAAATATGGCACATTTACTTTCAATGGTCAGTGAGAGAGTGTACAACATTATAACATAGACCTCAGAGAAAAGATGTAATTAATGTATGACATGACATTTTTACATTTTACAGATTTTATTTAAATAACAAACATTAACAGGAATACAGAAAGAAGTCGAGTTTTTGTGCTTCAGTTACATATATATATATATATATATATATATATATACACACACACAGTGGCGATAAAAATTACAG